GCCGCTGGAATCTACGAGTCCTCCCGAGTCCGCCCGCATCACCCTAACTCCTCCCATCTGCGTCCAGGGCGCTCCAGCTAAATTGGCCGTCCGAAAACCAAGCGGACCGATTTAATTGAACATTTTGCGGTGCGCACTGAGATGCTCACGTGCGCTGTGGGGCCAACCCGCGCGACAGGGGGCAAAGAGGAGGAGGGGGGGAGGAAGAGGAGGAGGAGGAACAGGAGGAGGAGGAGGAAGAGGAGGAGGAGGAGGAGGAGGAGGAGGAGAACGAGGAGGAGGAGGAGGAGGAGGAGGAGGAGGAGGAGGAGGAGGGGGAGGAGGAGGAGGAGGCGGTGGAGGTGGAGGAGGAGGGAGGAGGGAAGAACGTCGTATTCGATTATCAGCATTTTCTTGGCGTGGCGTCTAGTTGTCCGCAGCAGATCCTCACGTACATGCTCCTTCCACCTGTCCTATGTACGCAGGCATTGTGGTGTACACCTGTGCTGCGTTGCACGCGGATGTTGTGGTGTAGATACGCGCTGTGGCGTGCACAGGCGCTGCGGTGCACGCGAGAGCTATGGTGTACACAGGCGCTGCGTTGCACATGGTAGCTGCGGTGTTCGCATGTACACCAGCGTTGTAGTGTACGCAAGCACTGTGGTGCACACGGGCGCTGCGTTGCACACGGTTGTTGCGGTGTACACAGGCAGGCGCTGTGGTATACACGCGCGCTCTGGTGAACGCGAGCGCTGTGGTGTACTCAGGCGCAGTGGGGCATATCGCCACCTACGTGCTGCTCGCGTCGTCGTCGTCGCGACGCGCGACGCGCGACGCGCGCGCGCGCGGGCGCGGCTGCGGTGCCGGAGCCACACGGCGGGGGGGGGGCGCTACGTCATGCACCCCCCTTCGCACCCCCCACCCCCCGCATGACGCCCGTCATCGCCGAACATAAAGAAACGCGCTCCAATGCGGACCAGAAAGCAGTCATTATGTCTGTGGCCGGTAAGGACATCACCCAAGAGAAAGTGATCGAGGCGCTGGAGACCACCTTTGGGCAGCGGAGCACCATCCACGACCATAATCACGCGCGGAAGTAATATTTCGTCGGCGAGGAAGGAAATGATCACGAGGAATAATTTTACACTGTCGAACCGGAGGACGAGCCAACGAACGATTACGAGAAGGATTACAGGGCGGAGGACGACGACGCGCGGTGCGACTGCGACGACAGCTATTACCGGCGCGAACCCAGTGCGGCTTACGAGGTCGACCCTGGCGAGCACGACGAGGTGCACGCGGCCTACGCGGATGCCAGGAAACGGGGGGCGGTTCAACGACCTGAAGCTAGCGCGAGGCCTCTACCCTGTCGTGGCGATGGTCGGAAGCGGATCAAGTTCAAGCGCAGCACTTGTTGGAGCCACCGGCGGCCGGGGCAAGTCAAGCGGCAGAGGTTCCAAAGGGCGCGGAGAATCAAGAGGAAGAAAGGGCGGCCCAAAGGGTTCGCCACCGGCGCGCGCGCGAGAGCGCGACCTGCGGCGCTGGACCCAATGGGAAAAGCCAGGGCAGCTACGCGGCCAGTGCCCACGTCATCACCGTCGGCCAACTTCCCGCGGCGCGGGTAACCAGGTCACTGGGCCAGGGGCTGCGCCGAACCTCCCAACAAGAAGCGGTCCACGCCGACGAAAGCCTCGCGGTCGACGAGGTCTACTGGGACGGAAAGGCCAACGACAGCAGAGCGATTCCAATCAGCAGCGGAGTCATGGACTGGAGCCACCGTGTTCATGTCGGGCTCGGAGGCGGTCAAGGACCACGCGGCGGACTGCAAGCAAAAAGGCTACCCCATCCAGGGCCTCAAGTTCTGCAAGTGCCGCAGGCCATTCCGATTCGGGAGCGGCAGGGTCGAGAATGCGCAGCGGTGTGGAAACCGGCCAGTTTCAAGCAGAAGTCAGGCGCGCTCTAGATCCACGCAGCACCGGCGCGAACCCGAAATTATTCCCAAGGCCACTGCTGGAGGAGTTCGAGGTGCAAGTCGACTGCGCCAAGCAGATGGTGTCCTGGAGCGGTGGCAACTTCGAGGCAGCCACCCTCTCCCCTCGAGGGCGCTACGACGCGGGGTTGCCAGAGGAGCTGGACTAGAACACGATTCGCGAGAAGACCGATTTCGAGTTCGAGCCAACCGACGCGGGCCAGTTCCTAGACCCCAGCAGCGAGACGATGGACGGTCTGGAGTTTTCTGGGCAACATCTACATGGCGGGCTCCAGTAGCGACGGCGAGCAATGGGAGCAGCTACTTCAGCGACCTCACTCTGAAGCATGTTCCCGACGAGTAGCGCAGGTAAGCTGCTGCGGATCCTACGTGAAGCAGCGGCGGCGCCAACGGCGCGCCTCCTGTGGCAGCCTGCGGTTCACCGCGAAACCCTTCGAGCCAGTCGATCTGACTTCGCGGGAGCCCCGCCGGCGCTCACAGGTACCACCCTCCGACGAGGTGAGGTTCAGCGCCCGCGACGGCCGCGACGGCGCCGCCCAGCCGACCGCGGCCAGCTTCGCCCAGAAGATCGACTCATCAGTGAAGCGCGCTAGCGACCAGCATCTGCAGACGATGCGACGAGCAGCTCACCCGCAGCGCGCGATGCGACGCACAGTTTGGGGAAGTCTACGCAGGGGAAGCCAGACTCTCACGACCACCTTCCAGACATTGGAGCGCGCGCAGAGACCTGCGGGCCCAATGCCGGGTGGGATTCCGCCAAGGAGGACCGCGGGGAGGCATGCCCGAAGAAGCTCAAGGGGGAGCAGCCCGACGAAGTCCACCTTTCACCTCTGCGCGGCCCGTGGCGCAGCCTTCAGGAGCTTAGCATCCACCAGCGTCCCGGTGGGCAGGAGTACTTCGCCGATCTACGAGAGTGGCATCACCGAGTGCATCGACAGTTTACTAACCAAGATATGCCGCACGCAGCAGGAAGGAGGACGCCACGCACGCGTCGAATTCCTAGTTGCCTCGAGAGATTGGCACCCAGTGGCATTTAGCAGTTTGCACGGAGAGCGCGCCACGTTCGACCAGTGCACGTGCGGTCGCGCCATCGAGGGCAGCATGAACATGGCCGAGAAGCCCGCGGTGATCAAGACGACCAAGAAGCTCGTGGCAACCGTCCTCAGCGAGCGATGCGATCGCTCTCATGGGCGCGACCTGCTCGAGAGGAAGCAGCGCGCCAAACAGTCGGGGGACCACTTACTCATCGCGGCAGCTACGATGGCACAGATAGTGGTCGAGCCCGAGACCGAGGAGATCTATCTTGTTGAGGATTCCACCCAGTCCGAGGAAAGCACCGAGCCAGGCCAGTCATAATGTCATCGAGAGGCCTAAGTTCACGCGCGACTTCGAGAACAATGCGGCGCCGAGGCCTTGCGCTGCGTCAAGCGGCTCCGCCAGGGCATGGGGCGCCCCGACCCAGCAGTGCTACATCGGCTACTCCAGCAAGCAGGCGCTCAGGAGAGCGCTTCAGCGCGCGGCAGAGCATCGTCGCTGCGAGCGCTGGGGCGTGACCAGCAAAGGCGCCCAACGCATCGGCAAAGCAGGCCATGAAGTTCAACGACATTTTCCAGACGGGCGTCTTCTGGAGCGAGACGGCGACCGGCGAGGCGGCAGTTCTCGCCCCGGTAGACGGGGCTGCGCGGCATTGCGCGCTACGTGCCATCAAGACCGAGATGGCCGAGGAGCTAGTCAAGGGCCAAGGCAGTCGAGCGAGGCTGGATCAGACAGTTCGGACCCAAGGGAGAGAAAGCTACGCGCAGATGATGGGCCAGCTTTCCCTTCGGAGTGTTTCGCGCAGCTTCGGAGCAGCACGGCGTTTCGATCGTCGTCGCGGCAGGCGAAGCGCACTCGGGTTTAGGAATAATGGAGAGACGTCGCCACGTCACTCGGGAAGCGAGTGAGCAGCATTGTGCCTGCGCTATCGATCGCGGCGTTCGGACGTCGACGACGGAGGATTTAGTTGCGGAAGCTTGTATTCGCGCGCCGCGCCAAGTCAATCTTTCTGGCGTTTACAAAGGGGTGCTCTCCATGCCGCTGAGCTTTAGGAAAGGATCCTATTGCCACAATGGCCAACTCCAGCGACAAGCTCCCGCCGGCGACCCTGTGCTGGATGAGGGAGGACGAGGACTTCGAGAACGTGCTGGAGAGGATATCAGGCGGCTGCGGCATTTATGAAGGT